GTTGCAGTGGTTTCTGCAGCTGGTGGTGGTTGGCGGCGACGTGCTGCCTTGTCTGCTTGGTCATGTGGCTGGGCGAGGACGGTCGACATGATGCCGGAGTCGGTTTGCTGGGCAGGCTGCGGTGAGGATGGATTTGGTGAGCTCCGGGCGAAAGCCTAGCCCGACCTCGGTCGTTGTCGGCGTCGACGGTGTCCTCGGACGTCGTTCCCTCCTTGGAGGCGTCGTCGTGGAGCCCCTTCACCACCATTGTCGCCTCGGTCTCGGGCTCTCCGGGTGAAAACCCAAGTTTTGACCTTGGTCGAAACGGGCGTCGGCAGCATTCTTGTCGCTTCCCTCTTGGGGGCGACGCCTTGGAGGTCTGGTCCTCATCAGCTCGCGGTTGCTCGGGTGGCTTTGTGGATTCTTCGTCGGCCAGGCGTGTGCGCGGCCTCGGGGCCGGTGGGGAAGTCGGAGCGGCACCTCTGAAGAGCTTTGTCGTGGAGTGTTTGATCTGGTCGCGTGGGCGGCAGCGTCATCAGCTCAGGTGGAGCGTGGCCTCGGGGCCGGCGGGGAAGTCGGAGCGGCGGCTCCGGAGAGCACCCCTGTGTTGTGGAATGTCGGTTCTGGTCGTGTGGACGGCAGAGTCGTCGACTCGTATGGAGTGCGGCCTCGGGGCCGACGTGTGTGAGTTTTTTGTGGTTTTAAGCAGGAGTGGCGGCTCCGGGTCGTGTGGTGGAGTGGCAACTCTAGTTGTTTGGGCAACAGGGGAGTCGGCTCGTTAGGTACGTAGCCTCGGGGCTGGTGTGTGTCGATGTATCGGTTTTCGGCCAATTTTCCTTATAAATTGGTCAATTGTATTCTTCTTAATGCAAAGGTAGAGCTCCTGCTGTTTTCTCAAAAAAAAAATTTATAAAAGTTACAACCGCATTGAAAAAAGCTTCAAACTTCTTATCTCAGTTGCGACCCCCGCGATGACGATGACGCCGTTTTGCTGCAATCGTAGTAGATTTTTGCTATCACCGGCGATTGAATTTGCTACAACCGGTTCCAGCAAAAATTCACCGTGGGGTGTAGTCTGCCATGGTTGGTTGCAGCTCCGGCGTGGCCGGGTCCGACGAAGTAGGCAGAGCTCCGATGCATGCGGATCTGGACGATGGCGGCCAGATCGGCTGATTCCCATGACGGCGGCGCCCCCTGGGAGGCCTCCGGCGCGGGCGACGGGTTGACCATGGCAACGGGGAGAAAGAAGAGAGAGATGACCGAGAGGAAGAAGAGAAAAGGCAGGAGGGAGAAGACACACGTGGACGGGCCCCCCATCCTACGTGTCGCTAGGTGAGTCGCTGGACGCGTTTGCTCGTGAACGCGACCGGCCGAAGTTTCGGCCAGTGCGCCGTTGCCAAACGATTCCCAATCTGCAATGCACCAAAATTAGAAAAATGGAAGTAAAAAGATAGCAGGTAGAGATCCACACGCAGGCACTTGTTGAAGAAACTTGATCTTTCTCTTTGTGTACTTTTACCATTAGCAAGGAGCAACCGCCAGCCAAACATACCTGCCCGCTTAATGTAAACATGAACAATTGATCCAAGCTTGCCGCTGAATGATGGTTGCTAGCCATCATTTAATTAGGTCATAAAAACACGGTAAATTTTTTGAGCAAAAAGCAGCTAGGCTTTATTGAACACTGATAATGTTTACAGGAATGAAGTTCACGTCACGAGGCACTCCCAACCACACATGTGCACCAGGAGAAAAGGAAAAAACAAATCTAGCTAATCGACGGGCTTCAAAGTTTGAAGCTCTAGGCTCAAAATTAACAAGAATGCTAGACATACAAAGACTTACACGCTTTTACACGCTCCTTCCATCTAACAACCAATCACAAACCTTTCCCTCCCTGATTTTTAGGAGGGTGGACCGCTCCGTTCACCTATTGACCAATCAAGATTAACCATCCTGTAAAAGCCTGTAAATCGTTTGTACATGTAGCATTGCCGCAAAATTAAACACACAGACACAGTGACTAAAAGCTTTACTGTACTCGTTGGTCTCTCTAATAACGGCACCATAATTGCCTCCTGCACCTTGGTTGATATGATTGACCTTTTTTTTTTTTTGAGGGATGATTGACCATTTATTGATGTTACGGGCTTGATAGGCCCTATTTTTGTTAATTCGGGCTGGACCTGGATGGGCCTTGGTTGCCAGTCCAATGGCCAGGATGGGGAGGCATCAGCTCTGCTTCACTGCACCGTCGGCTCTGCTTCACTCCATCGACCTTGGTTGCCAGTCTTTGATAGCTCGATCCCCTTTCTTACCGAAACCCTAAACGGAAGGAGGGCGAGGCGCTGCCGCCGCCGGCGCCGGACAGGATGGAAGGCGAGGCGCGGCGGCCGCCGGCGTGCGTATCCAAGGTGCTCGACGACGACAACCTCCTGACGGAGATCATCGTCCGCGTCGGCTTCCCCACCAGCCTCGTCCGCGCCGCCGGCGTCTGCAGGCGCTGGCTCAGCCACGCCTCCGACCGCGCATTGCTCCGCCGTTTCCGCGAGCTCCACCCTCCCAGACTCCTCGGCTTCTACATCGTAGAGTGGGGGTATCCGGCCGCCGCACGCTTCTTCCCCATACTGCCTCAGCCCCCAGAGCTCGCTGCCGTCGTCCGCCGCGCAAACTTCAGCGAGGGGCTACCCTTCTCCAAAAAAGAAGGGGATACCATGGTGGGCTGCTCGAACGGCAGCGTCTTCACCCGCCGCCTAAACTTCACCAGCTGCAGAAACTTCGACCTGGACACCTACGAGCTTGTATTCACAGTGCACAGCCCGCTGCGCTATGAAGGAGGTATGGCCGTCCTCCCAGGATTACATCTCAGAATGCCCTCTTTGTACAGTTGGGCACAACTCTTCTCCAAAGAAGATGGGGACGGGTCGTCCTACTTTTACGTCACGGTGGAGGCCCTGGATACCATGGTACCTACGTTAAATGTTTATATGTTGGGAAATGGTGATGCTGCCTGGCACAAACATCTCACGTTGGCGTCGGACCTCCTCTGCCGTCCATCTAGTCCGAAAGGCGTGCTCGTTGACAACAAAATCTATGTCGCGACCTACAATGCAATTGTTGTCCTGGATTTGACATCCTCAACCTTATCGACAATTCAGCTCCCACACGGGGTGGGTTTTGGCCTAGGCGCCACCGTGTTGTCACGGGCCGATGATGGTTCTGTTTTATATCTCATCCATATCAAAGAGCTTCAACTTCACATCTGGCTCCACAATGGGGACAACTGGCTGCTGGTGGACACCATTTGCTTGAGTGAAATGTGTGCTAGTTTTCCTGAGGATGAGCTTACTAGTATCCGGATAAACCATGTGGGGGACTATAATGAGTATGTATTCTTGGAGATGGATCAATATGCACTCTACTTGGATGTCAAGTGCAGGACGCTGCGTAAGGTGTGCGAGATGACAGCAGATGAGTATTCTTTGGGTGATATCTATCCTTTTATGATGAGCTGGCCTCCCATTTTCCCTACTCTCAGTCCTGCAAGGTTTGCCTTTTTCCCTTTTAGTGATATGTATAGTCTACTTGTAGAGTTTACATAGTTTTGCAATGTGCATCATGTATCTCACTATTTAGTATAGCTGTGTACTGGTGTTACATATGTGATTGATTCTTTAAATCAAACAATACTGGTCAGCTTGATGTAAGATGACTTGAAATCACTTCTGTATTGATTTACTAGGACATTTAACAATGCTAGAGGCGGCATTAGTGAATGATTGATGTAAGATGATTTGAAATCGCTTGTATACCGAGGAATATTGCAAGGTGTCTACTTATGGTCATAGTAGGTACCCTTGCGTGTTGTTGTCGGTGTGTAATGGGTTCGTTGCAAATGATGTTGTAAATAGGTAAGAGAAAAAGAAAAGTAGGAGTTATGGATGGATGCAGGTTTGTTTCTTAACTTCCAGGGGACAGCTAAAAGTGCACGACTGAAGTTGGGGGTTTCGCTGCTGCGAAAATACACTACGGGGAAGCACTAGCTTTTGCAACTTCTGCTTCTCTTTTCTCCCCCTTTGGTTAGCTTATAGCTTCCAAAAGCCAGAAGTTGGCTGCAAAAGCTCAACCAAACACAGCCTTAGTCGCTATAAGATTACAGAAATCTTCTTTTAGATATGCTACCATGGTGGACCTCTAATGGACTTTTATGTACCTGATGCTACTCGGATGGCTAAATACTTCTGAATCCAACTATCACCCATATATTATCACTCTTAATAGGTTTCAGCGAAGCTAGTAATATTTCAATGGGCTCATTATTAGTTGCAAAACTACACATGATTTGTGATGGTTGTTGTTGTTTGCTAGACGTATACTGGAGTATCAGACTATGGCAGACTACTATGGAATAATTGATTCTGTTGAACCTTGTGCTGCCACCAGAAGCCATGCTTCCTGAACTTGGTCTTCCCTAGGGATGCAAGCGGGCATCCCGCATAGCCCCGCATAAGTAGAGAGTTAGTTCAGATTGAACTAAAACTGAGCGGAGCAGTTATAACTAACTAAAATTAATTTTGACTATGGAGCGGGCCGGATCGGGCGCCGGTCTGCACCCCTAGTCTTCCCTTTACTGAACTATCAATGCAGAATTGCAAATTGGACCTACAAAAGTATAAAACATCATGTATAAGAGGATTTGGAGCTGAAAGATGCCTAGCCTTGTTAATTTGTTATCATGTTGACCACCTATGTTTTCTTGCACAGAAAGTCAGGAACCCATCAAGCCTGGAATTTTAGCTTCATAATTCTTAAATATAATCATGGTGTAATTTTCTACAACCTACTTTTCAACTGTGAACCACAAACTATGTATGGGATTGCTAATACTTGTTTCTTTTCCGAGTGTTGCCTAGTGGATTGTATCTTCTTTTTCTCAGACACAAGTAGTAGATTTTACGATGGTTCTCTCTAGATTCTTCATTAATTGTGATTCAGATACATCGCAGTGAAAATTTCCTTTTATATGACATTCTTGTCCAAGGCATTTAACCTGTGCTTCTGTAACTTTTGGAAATAAAAAACTAAATTGCTTGACCAAATTCACCGCTTTAATTTTCTAAGCGCACTAAACATTTTACTATCGTCGGACTAGCCACTCATCTTGTTTGCCCATCTTATAATTTTGATGCTTAAAGTTAAAGTGGCAAACCGAATACATCCTGATGCCTAATTTCCTCTATCTGGTTCCTTGCTCGGTTTTCTCTGAAACAGGGATGCCACTTGAAGAACGAGGATATGAGGAAAGCTTTTGGATGAGTTGTGACAAGGGTGCCACCAACGAAGAGCACAGGGCTGCATTTCCTCACTAGCAGTTCTAACCGTGTTCATTTTAACTAGCAGTGGATTGATTAGGATGGTATGTAACTTGAGCAGCTACTCCTGTCATGTGGCATCAGTCGGTTAGTACTGTATGCATCAGTAGTGTTAGTGTGTAACACTCTCGCCTGGTTTGTTTGTGTTGTCCACTCCAGATCGCTACTTGTGAAAAGCGTCTTATTTTGTATGTTGAGTAGCTATATAATCTGATCTAGTACTTCCGTTGAAGTCTTGCGTGGTTCCACTGCTTGCATTTGGACAAGCGCCTTATTGTTCGCCATTGCAGAATCGGTGTCGCTTGCTCTGATGTAAAAGTGAAAGAAAGTTCCGTTGACCACACTCTGTCTAATCTACATGGCACATGTGCTGGTTCACTAATAAATAACTACTTTGTTGTACTTGTAGAGGGATGAACCCGCAGCACTAGCCAGTAGGGTCAGGTGAATTCATCAGGTAAGAGTGGCAATTCTGCAGAAGTCTCGAAATACAAGAGAGACATGACCTATAATCTGAGCCAGAAGACCTAGGCCCACGGGCCTGTGTGATGCGTGAACGGGCTAACACTATTCACACGACCAAAAGCTGTTCTTTGGTGCCCGGTGCCCATATAATCCATGTCGGTGGCTCGCCGGTGCTCATCCGCGCAGCTGACCGCCAACGGTCCTTGCCGTTGTGCCGACATTGTTGTAGAGCTGGTCGAGCATCAACCTACTATTGTCGAACCTAACAAGTTGAGGCACGTCCAGCGACATCCCGTTGTACGGGCCATATGATCTCATCAGCCTGAATGGCCGGCGGATGGGAAATCGGTCTAGCCCAACCATCATGAATGCAAGGCCCACAGGACGCACCATTGATGCTATAGAACAGAAGAAGAGTTGTACTCAACGGTTTGGCATTGATGATATGGACGATGATCAGAGACCGAAGTATGAAGTGGTGAAGAAGGTGGCGGCCCATCCACGAAAAGATAGAGATGGCTCGGAAGCTTGTGGACCCTAAGAACTACGAAGAAGACAAACGGGTTGGCTTATTAGCGGTTGGCAGCGAGTTCGATGTCGATTTTAAGAGCTCTCGCGGCTTTGGCAACAAAGATGAGTAAAGACCACCATATGTTGGGCTATGGTATCAAAGGAACAATCATCTTTGACGAAAGTCACAGAAAACCATGAAGATTGGGGCAGGGTTGAACACATAACACTGATTCACAGCTTTTAGCATTTTAATAGTGAATTTGACCACCCGGGCCTACATAGGATGACATGGCATACCTAGGTGGACAAGGGTCCCACCTATCATCCCCACATATTCTTTCGATCTCTTCTTCCTCCTCATATCCTTTTCTCCATGGTGCTCTATGCCAGCCAAAGAACGAGTCATGGGCTGGTTGATGTCCTAGTCTGACCTACACTAGCATCGACACCGGTGCCCACTATACTCCAGAGTTGTGCATGACCCTTGAGCCATCGGACGGCGAGGGTCCCACGAGGTGCAGTGGTGCACCCGGACATAGTTGAGGAAGGAGAGGGGATCATGTAAAAGACTGGCGCAGTAAACTGTCATCGAGGATAACTGTCGGTGTTAAAACCGGCAGATCTCGGGTAGGGGGTCCCGAACTGTGCGTCTAGGCGGATGGTAACAGGAGACAAGGGACACGATGTTTTTACCCAGGTTCGGGCCCTCTCAATGAAGGTAAAACCCTACTCCTGCTTGATTAATATTGATGATATGGGTAGTACAAGAGTTGATCTACCACGAGATCAGAGAGGCTAAACCCTAGAAGCTAGCCTATGGTATGATTGTTGTTCGTCCTACGGACTAAACCTCTCCGGTTTATATAGACACCGGAGAGGGATAGGGTTACACAGAGTCGGTTACAATGGGAGGAGATCTACATATCGTATCGCCAAGCTTGCCTTCCACGCTAAGGAAAGTCCTATCCGGACACGGGACGAAGTCTTCAATCTTGTATCTTCATAGTCCGGGAGTCCGGCCAAAGGTCATAGTCTGGCCATCCGGACACCCCCTAATCCAGGACTCCCTCAGTAGCCCCTGAACCAGGCTTCAATGACGACGAGTCCGGCGCGCAAATTGTCTTCGGCATTGCAAGGCGGGTTCCTCCTCCGAATACTTCATAGAAGATGTTGAACACAAGGATAGTGTCCGGCTCTGCAAAATAGTTTCCACATACCACCGTAGAGAGAATAATATTCACACAAATCTAATCTGCTGACGTATTCCGTAGCGTGACATCATGCCACAACCAAGCCTTTATTCGAATCGTTTTACTGTCCCACCTCAGCGTGTTTAGCGAGGCGGTTTCCTTGGCACGTCTTGTCAAAGCAGAGATCGTGTCCCCTTATTCCAGGATTCTCATCAATACGGTCGTGGGTAACCCAACCGCGCCATTAATCGCGGCGCTTGGGAGATAAGCGAGTTTTACTAGGCTGGTGGGGGCACATAGTTTCGGCCGCCCATATAAGGGGATAAGAATCCACCCTTTCCATCTACGCCTTCCTCCTCCTTCGCTTATCTATTCCTGCGCACTCAAGTTCCAGCGCCCAAGTCCGCACTTCCCACCTCAACCTTCTCCAATCATGTCCGGAGCGGGAGGCAAGTGGATGGCCTCCTCCGTTACAGAGGGGCAAATCAAGAAGCTGAGGAAAGCCGGATACTTGTCCAACGACATCGCGCACCGGCTCCCAGATGAGGGACAGCTCATCCCCACCCCCAGGCCCCATGAGAGGGTCGTGTTTCTCCCCCATTTCCTCCACGGACTGGGCTTTCCTCTTCACCCATTTGTCCGGGGGCTCATGTTCTACTATGGCCTGGATTTCCACGATCTGGCCCCGAACTTCATCCTCAACATCTCAGCGTTTATTGTCGTGTGTGAGGTCTTCCTCCGCATCCAGCCCCACTTCAGCTTATGGCTGAAGACCTTCAATGTCAAGCCGAAGGTTGTGGGCGGCCGACAAGCGGAGTGCGGAGGCGCCGTGGTGGGCAAGATGGCCAACGTCACATGGCTCGAGGGCTCCTTTGTGGAAACCATCAAAGGGTGGCAATTAGGGTGGTTCTACATCACCAAGCCGCGTGACCCTGAATGGGAAGCGGCCCCCGAGTTCCGATCTGGCATCCCCACGCGGCTCACCTCATGGAAAGAGACGGGCCTATCGTGGGGTAATCCGGAAGAGGCGACCGGACTCCAAACCTGCGTCTGAAACCTCATGGACAAGAAGGTTACACTCATCAACGTAGTCCAGGTCATGCTCTTCCGCCGGATCCTCCCGTGTCAACGGCGGTCTTTTAATCTGTGGGAATTCGACCCGGCTCAGTACAAAACTCTGTCCAGGCTCTTCGACACAACGAACGAAGATGCTTGGAAGATGCTTTTCAAGAGCTCCGAGGTCCACCCTCCCACTATCGAGGATCGCGGATTCTGCGCGAAGTGCCAAGCCAGCACGGTAAGCTTAGTTTACCCATTATAGGGTATTTGTTTTTCATAGTTTGACTCTATGCGGGATCTAAACTCCCATTCCTTTAACAGGACTGGCAGAAGAAGGCCGGACAAATCGACTGTCCGGCTCCTTTGCCCGAAGACCCAGCAGACGCCCGCTTGACGAAGCTGCTGGTCCCGGCACCCCACGTGGTGCCGGAGAAGAAGGCCAAGAAGAAGGCCACGGGAACTCGAAGGAGCTCCCGGCGACTGGTGGTGTCGGACTCATCGCCCGAAGACCCCGAAGCGCACTCCTCCTCTGAAGACGAGGAGGAGGAAGAAGAACCCTCTCCCCCTCCAACGGGGGGAGGAAAGAAAAGGAAGGCCGCCCCAACTGGGGAGGCCAGAGGGTCCAAGAAGGGGAAGACCCTTCTTCCGGACTACGCCTCTGACGCCGAAGACGGCGGAGAGGAGTGGCCATCCAGGGCAAGCCCCTGGCGAAATCGTAAGTATCCGGTTACCAGAATAACTCACGGTATTCCTTTATTGCACAGTGCCTTCTGACGCCGAATATAATCATGCAGTCAGCCCAAGGCTCAGCTCAATGATTCGTCGAGTGGCTCCCTGGACTCGTCGGATATGAACAGTCTTTCACTCCCGACAGTTTCCTCCCCCGCCCTATGGACGAAGCCGAGGCGGAGTCCCGAAAGGGGTTGAGCCAGGAGGAGGTGGTCCTGGAGGCGCAGCAAGGCGACCTCCCGGACTCCAGGCCCGAAGGGGATAAAACCCTGGAGGGATCTAAGTCCGGCCCTCGGCCGGACACCGCACCGGAACCTTCAGTGGTTCCGGAGTCCGGCAGGCGGCCCCTTCGCAAGAAGGGCAAGCCTATGACGCCGGCGGCCACCGTCCAACCGGAGGCGCCGGAAAATTTGCTGGAGGTGCTTCACGGCGCCTCCATCGACGAGGAGCACCGCACTATAATGAGTGCGCTGATCGAGAAGGTTCAGTCCGCCAAGAGCGGGCTGACAAAAGCCTGTGCCAGCCTTCTAATAGGCTTTGAAGTATGTATTTTAAAACATGTAAAAATGTTACCGCATAGATAGTAGCCCCTTGCTCAGTTTGGTGTTCGGAAAGAAAAGCCGAACTGAGGATCTAAAAAGATATACGCAGGAGTCTAACAGAAATATGTCAATATGGGAATGCAGGCTGCGCTGCTGACCTCTGCCGCACTGACTGCGGAGGTTGATGCATTGAAGCAGAGCCTCGAGCGGTCCGAGAATGAGCTCGACCTTGCCAAGAAGCACTACAAGAAATATGTCAACTAGTGACCTTCTGTCAGTGACCCTGGAAGAATTGGTCATAGATCTATGACCATTTGAGACCAATTGGTCAAAAGCTGTTCGGGGGGCTCCAAACCCTAAACCATTGCGACCATTTTGGTCAGAAAGGTCGTAATTTCCTTACACCAAATGGTC